TATAGTTTATATAGGGAAATAACACTTTTCGGTATATATTTTATCCATTTTCAGCAGAAAATTGCTCAAACTTAGTCAGAATCATCTTGGGTAAATGAGAGTTTTACTTTGTAAAATTAGGATTCCTGCCCCATCCCCAGGGGCTAGGGCGGGGCCCCAAAGGGAACATTTACCAATATTTTCAAATTCTTATCCATTGATGACATGACAAGTATTGTATTTCACTTAGTTTACATGCTGATTTCCACATCACATCTAAACAATAAAATAAAGCTACCAGTATCTATGATATAACTCAGGTGACCGCTAAGGCCCTTGGGCCTCTTGTTTTAAATGTTAGAGGACATATGAGAAAACCTTTTTCATAACAAATAAACCAAATATTTGTCATTAATATTGGAATAAAACAAGTTTTAAAATTTTCGATATTTTTAAAAGATCAAAAGAAAATATTCAAAATGGCGTACAACGTTAACGGTAAATGTTACAGAATTTTTTTATCAAAATAAATGAATGTTTTCAAAAAATGGTGACCTTTAAACCAACAGCGAGCTTTTTTATTAGAAATATTTTGCATCAACATGGAAATGAAAAAGTTAGCCCTGATGTTTATCTACATATAATATTATTGCGTTAATTCTATAAATTAAACCGTTTTTGAGTTATGGCCATTTTTAGATTTTGAGGTATGACGCCATGGTGGCCATATTGGATTTTTGACCTACTTTAAAATGTTGCTTGATTAGCTTCAGACCTTTTCCTACAACATACTTTAAAGACTATAAACCTATCTTTTACCAATCAAAAGAATAATAATAATAAGAACTAGAAATTGTTTGCTAACAATTTGACGGTCTTTTCACTGTAAGGGTTACTTCTCTTACACCAGTAGTAAAAGTCCTGGTATCTGGTAAAATTACATGTTCGAATTTGAACTCTCTCAAATACCGGAAGTTGATCTTTAATTGTCATTTATGTCAATAAACCTTGTAGCCCATCATCCTAGCATGCTAAAGACCAAATATCAAAACCCTTGATATTTTCGTTTTTGTGAAGGATTATTTTGAAGATTTTAACATGATTGACACTAGTGACCTTGAACATGGGTCAAGCTCATTTATATTTTCAAACTTGATAGTCCACTGCTTGAGCATGAATATTCAATAAATATTATGACATTGGGTCAATTAGTTTTTGAGAAGAAGTTTTTTGAAGTTTGTTTCACAGAATTACACATTCGAACTTTTACCCCTACCGAAAACCGGAAGTTGACCTTTAATAGTCATTCTTGTGCATACACTTGGTAGCTCATTTCCTCAGCATATAATAGACCAAATATCAATACCCTAGGCATCTTCGTTATTGAGAAGGAATCATTTGAAGATTTTAACATAATTGACCCCAGTGACCTTGAACATATGTGAAGGTCATTCATATTATCAAACTTGATAGTCCGTTGCTTGATCATGATATTCAACAAATATCATGACCTTGGGTCACTTTGTTATTGAGAAAAAGATTTTTGAAGTTGTTACCCTGAAATAGCATATATGAAATTTGACCCCTAAATAACTCAAAAATGGACATGGTCAACTCAATTTTTTTTCTGCCAAAATTGTGCGCATTAGTGCTGTCTACGTCATTCCTGAATATAATATGAATCTTACAAACAATTTTCGAAATATTCTTGATTAAAGTTTTTTTTGTTTTTTTAATCATTTGACCTTTGTGACCTTGATAGTCGATCAAGGTCAGCCATTTTTTCAAACCTGATACCCAATCATCTCAGCATTTTAAATATGAAATATCAAGACTCTTGTGAAACTTTAGAAGAAGATTTTTTAAATTTGTTGCCCTATAGTGCATTTGAACTTTGACCCCTACCGAAAACCGGAAGATGAACTTTGACACAAAAATGTTTCATGAGAAAAGTTATTTATTTTTTATTTTTCACAACATATACAAAGATGAATTAAATATATTCACCCGTTAATGAGGTGTAGCAGTTTAAGAAAATAATGGATATGACGTCATGGTGGCCATTTTGTTTTTTGATGAATTTGAAAATGTTCCCAAATGTTAGAGGACAGCTGTAGAAACCTTTTCCTTAACAACTAAACGAAATAATTGTCATTTATATTGGAGTAAAACAAGTTTTAAAATATTGAGAAATTTTTAAAAGATCAAAGAAAATATTCAAAATGGCTTAAAACGTTAACGGTTAATGTTACAGAAACACTAAAGACATTAAATTCATCGGAAGGACATTCTTCATTGATCTGTATAACTATTTTTCAAAAAAAATGAAAAATGAATGTTTTTTTAAAAATTGTGACCTTTGACCCAACAGCGAGCTTTTTTATTTGACCTTTAAATGAAATAACATGTGGTAATAAAAGTTAGCTCCGATGTTTATCTACATATAATATAATGGCGTCAATTCTGTAAATTAAATCGTTTTTGAGTTGTGGCCATTTTAAGATTTTGACCTATGACGTCATGGCGGCCATATTTAGTTTTTGACCTACTTGAAAATGTTGCTTGATCAGCTTTAGACCTTTTCCTACAACATACTTAAAAGACTATAAACCTCTCTTTTACCAATCAAAAGATACAGATTCCACAAAGTATGGAAGAAGAATAATAAGAATAATAAGAATAATAAGAAACTTAACAAAAGCAATAGGTCTTTTCACCAGTTGGTGAAAAGCCCTAATAATTATATGAAGAATAAGAAACATAACAAAAACAATAGGTCTTTTCACCAGTTGGTGAAAAGCCCTAATGACTTTGGCCTTCATCCAAGATCACAGAGGTCAAATTTGTCAAAAACTTCTAACAACTTCTTCCAAAGATTTTAAGGCACTAGAATCATGTTATCAGGCTGGAATTTTTCTAAGATGAAGCCCAACAAAGCTTGTGAGTAAAAATAACCTTGATCTGTCTTCAAGGTCACAGGGGTCAAATATGTCAAAAACTTCAAACAACATCTTCTTAAGAACCAAAAAGACTTTAATCATATTTGGCTAATAGCTTCATTTGATGGAGCCCAGGAAGTTTAAAATTGACCTTGGCCTACTTTCAAGGTCACAGAGGTTAAATATGTCAAAAACTTCAAACATGTTCTTCTGAAGAACTGCAAGGCATATAATCATTGTATTTGGCTAATAGCTACTTTTGATGGAGCCCAGGAAGTGTGCAAACAAAATTGACCTTGACCTACTTTCAAGGTCACAGAGGTTAAATATGTCAAAAACTTCAAACGTGTTCTTCTGAAAACCGAAAAGCCTAGAATTGTTATATATGTTTAAAAATTACTGGGATCAGGCCTGACAAGTTTGCAAAATACAATGACCTGGATGTTATCCTGAGGTAATAACATGGAAACATCTGATATCCCCTTCCTATAACCATGTTCAACTGCTAGGCTAGGAAAGAGTTGAGATCTCTACCCTGTAACCCTGTAACCATATATTAAATTGGTGGGTATGAAACATTTATAGTCATGGCCTTAGCATCATTACTACCCCTAGGGAGTGAGTCCTTGATGCAGTTGATAGGTTTACACTATTGGATTAAAGTGTACAGTAGTCAACAGGTTTCAAAAAACAAAAATTCAAGATGACCTATCAATGCCCCTTGGCCTCTTGTCTTCCAAGATTTGAGAACTTCAAACTTTTCCTGACAAACTATGTATACTGTCCTATTACTCTAAAATTTTGTCCAAAAACCTTTTCTGAATTGCTATTTAATTGAAGTAAAAATGTGTCTGAAAGTTAAATTGAGATTGGTGCTTGTCTGACCAGGAGGAGGAAAAAAAGAAAATGATGAGAGAGTGCAAGGTAAAGGAAGTACAGTCTATGACATCTGAGACCAACAATAATGAAGAGAAGAATGAGACCATTAAGCTGAAGACAATTGATATGGTACAGGTGAAAATCAACAATAAGGAAAAAGGTGAGTATGTTAGCTATTGACAAACATTAATAATGACAATTGCTTACACACAGGACAAGGTCACAGGACAAGGTCACAGGACAAGGTCAGTGTACCTAACACACAGAACAAGGTCAGTGTACCTTACACACAGGACAAGATCAGTGTACCTTACACACAGGACAAGGTCAGTGTACCTAACACACAGGACAAGGTCAGTGTACCTTAAACACAGGACAAGGTCACAGTACCTTACACACAGGACAAGGTCAGTGTACCTAACACACAGGACAAGGTCACCGTACCTTACACACAGGACAAGGTCAGTGTAATTTAAACACAGGACAAGGTCACAGTACCTTACACACAGGACAAGGTCAGTGTACCTTACAGGGTAAGGTCATCATATCATACACACAGGTCAAGGTCAGTGTACCTTACATACAGGACAAGGTCAGTGTACCTTACAGGGAAAGGTCATCATATCATACACACAGGACAAGGTCAGTGTACCTCACAGGGTAAGGTCATCATATCATACACACAGGTCAAGGTCAGTGTACCTTACATACAGGACAAGGTCAGTGTACCTTACAGGGTAAGGTCATCATATCATACACACAGGACAAGGTCACAGTACCTTACACACAGGACAAGGTCAGTGTACCTTACACACAGGACAAAGTCAAAGTACCTTACACACAGGACAAGGTCAGTGTACCTTACAGGGTAAGGTTATCATATCATACACACAGGACAAGGTCAGGGTACATTCAAGGGTAAGGTCATCATATCATACAGACAGGACAAGGTCAGTGTACCTCACAGGATAAGGTCATCATATCATACACACAGGTCAAGGTCAGTGTACCTTACATACAGAACAAGGTCAGTGTACCTTACAGGGTAAGGTTATCATATCATACACACAGGACAAGGTCAGTGTACCTTACAGGGGAAGGTCATCATATCATACACACAGGACAAGGCCAGGGTACATTCAAGGGTAAGGTCATCATATCATACAGACAGGACAAGGCCAGTGTACCTCACAGGGTTAGGTCATCATATCATACACACAGGACAAGGTCAGGGTACCTCACAGGGTAAGGTCATCATATCATATAGACAGGACAAGATACACACAGGTCAAGGTCAGTGTACCTTACATACAGAACAAGGTCAGTGTACCTTACAGGGTAAGGCCATCATATCATACACACAGGACAAGGTCAGTGTACCTTACACACAGGACAAAGTCAAAGTCCCTTACACACAGGACAAGGTCAGTGTACCTTACAGGGTAAGGCCATCATATCATACACACAGGACAAGGTCAGGGTACATTCAAGGGTAAGGTCATCATATCATACACACAGGTCAAGGTCAGTGTACCTTACATACAGAACAAGGTCAGTGTACCTTACAGGGTAAGGTTATCATATCATACACACAGGACAAGGTCAGTGTACATTACAGGGAAAGGTCATTATAGCATACACACAGGACAAGGTCTGTGTACATTACAGGGTAAGGTTTTCATATCATACACACAGGCAAAGGTCAGTGTACCTCACAGGGTAAGGTCATCATATCATACACACAGGACACGGTCAGTGTACCTTACAAGGTAAGGTTTTCATATCATACAGACAGGACACGGTCAGTGTACCTA